GTGCTGTGAGGGGCCCCATGAGAGTAGGGCTGTGGTAAGGTGTGGTAGGCAGGAGCAACCGTCAGGCCCCGGCTTTCTGCATGTCTGGACGGTGTCAGAGGGTGAGACGGGAGCTGGAGGGGTAAAAATTAAGTTAACCTTTAAGTTGAAGATACTGGACAGGCAAACCTTAAACCCTAAATAAATTAATCAAATCAATCAATTTAGTGTGTTCTATTACACTTGAATATATTTTGTTAAGTTCTTAAACTTTCTTAAACATAAAGTTCTTTATGTCTGTGTTTTTACTTTTTTGCAAAGCTTTTTGTGCACCGATAAGTGTGAATATCTACACCCGTTCACTGCCATTCTAAAGCTTGGAAGAGCCAGGACATTTTTTAATATAACTCTGATTGTATTCCTCTGAAAGAAGAAAATCATTTACACCTAGGATGGCTTGAGGGTGAGTAAACCATTGGGTAATTTTTCATTTTTGGGTGAACTATCACTTTAAATACTATATGTGTGGTTTTCTAAGATGTGATGTTAAACAGGTGACCCACTGTGTGGCAGGGAACAGTGAGGGGTTTCATGCTGGGAGCCACCATGGTGGGGTGCTTGGTCTGTCGGTTCAGATGCTCGAGCCAGTCCTGCAGATCCTGTTTGTTATAGCAGATCACCTGAAGTCTCTCGAACATGCTTCCTGTTGAATGGACACACAAGCAGAGTCAATGAATGACTAAGAATGATCAAAAACACTTGACTGTGTCCTGAACACAAAAGATGCGAGACAGTTTGTCCTTACCTGAAAGCTCAAAAGCATTTTTATGACTTTCACAGTCTTCTAATGGGGTCACCGTCATCCCGCTCAAAGGTAGCTTGCCCTGAGAGAAACAAAGCAGACGTTTTCTCTTTGTGCTAGAGCCGCAAGTGCCATTTTAATGTTTGAAAAGCTGTGGTTTGAGTGGATTTTAGGGGATGGTGGAGCGAGGGCAGTGAGAATTATTTGGCTGTGTAGTAATCATTTCTGACAGCGGCTGGTTTCTGACCTGGAAGATGAAGCCACTCATCCTTGGACTGGCAGACAGGATGAGCAAAACGTGAGGAAACAGCAGAAGGTAACGTTCATGCTTATCCTAAAAAACAATATGAAAAAAATTGTAATACCACACAGCCACTATAACTGTAGGACTGAAATCACAAAACTATTGGCATTTTTGTCAATATGAATCAGCAATAGGTCTTTTTGAAACATGTTATTTACTTGTAATGCATTCGTACTGTAAATAGCATGTTTACACGACTCAGGACAACTTTTTTCTTCTTTTTTTATAACACTTGTATCCAGAAAATGAAACATGATTGATTCATATGGAATTCTGAGCCATAAAAACCCACATCACTACTCACTTACTACTTACCACATCAGTACTTACCACTACTTAATAATAACCTTATTAACAACAGTAATTATACAAGGCTACCTAAACACTACTCATAGTCGTGGTTGCATCAACATGTTATACATTTTATTTTATCAAATTATTTCAGCATATTTTTATTTTTCAATCAGAACGGTTTGACAACTTGTCACTCCCAGACATGGGGCATGTGATTGCAAACAAACATTTTGTCAGAGGGTTTTGTCTTTACCATAAGAATTTTTTTAGATTT